AAGACAAACGTTTTAACTTTACGATCTTTGAATGCGCTATGGAAATAGTTGCTGATCTCTATGCGTTTGAATCAACGATTAAATAGATTTTTATAAAGCTGGAAAGATAATCATCAGATGAATTATATGAAATCTTAGGACTCGTACATTCAATTTAAAAATCCAATATAATCATATAACAAAAATATGCCTAGCATTACCTTCGCTAAGTATTATTTTTGTTGAGGTTGGTTTTTACTATTTTTGGTCGAGGAACAGCGACGACTCAATCGATTTCGTCGAAAAATGCTACTCAAGCCATCGTGAAAGTTGGCAAGCGGCTTTGACAACAACTGCGTCGTCCGCATTTCCGTATGGCACATATACGGATCATCGTAATATGCAAAAGCTTCGAAGAGATTCGTGCAGGCTTGGCAGTAAGAGAGAGCCAGTTTCCATCTGCGTCGTCAAGCTTTTATCTCTTTCTAGGCATCAGGGGGATCAAGCTCGCATTTTCGGGAAAATCCAATGGAACTTACGCCTAAGTGCTTTTCTAGTACTGTGGCCTTAGTGAATTGCCTATTTGGAGACTGTTTACGTGATGGGAAAAAAATTCTTTTTTTCTAATGAAATTCCAATGTGTAGAAAACAGCCAATTGGAAAAAATTTTTTTGTCCGTGATTGAAATGAAACATCCGATTTTTCTTTCAATGTATAGTCTTGGATAAAAGATATTATAAGCATCTGATTAATTAACAATAGATTATATTGATATAACGGTTTAATAATCAATAATTCGCACGTATTGTTGTTATATTTTTCAACAAAGTTTAATGAAAAGCAAATAAAGTAATCCAATGAATATTTCAACATAATTCAGAATCGCACGTTTTCCTAATTATTTTTTCGATCGATATGTCAATTTCTGAGAGGTATACTACTACTAGGTTCATTCTAAATTCCAGAAGAATCGAGTCGGCAAGTGTATTCCCCACCCTTCAATCTAGCACACATCGTTCAATATTTGCGACAGTGGACCGGCGAAGCAACGTAATATAACCGACATATTCTCGCGCATGAAGCCTTTAAACAAGGAGACGAGTGCTGCATACGTCCAGCGCATACAAATCGTCACTTCTATATACGAGCATCGTCGTAAATGCAGATGGATGCATACTTTTGGAAATGCGCGAAGTGAAGCCGCAGTATAAACTTTATGAAACCGTGAAATTCTTTGCGCGCGCGCAAAGTCCAGTTGGTTTATTGCCTCAAAGCGACAATTCGACATTGCGGTTTTGTGCCGTTGCAAAAGTTTCGCACTTCCTCGCCCATTGTCTCTCTTTTCTATATTTATATATACATATCCATGCTATTACACCGCTGTGATTATGACAACGGACTGTTCGGTCAATTGTTTTTCGAGTGTGCTTCCGAGGGCAGTTTTTACGACATTAAATAAATAAGTGAATTATTATTTGATTTTTCGTCGAATCATCGTATGCAATCTTTTTGCACTTTCCATTGGTCGAGTCAGTAATCAACTGAGTTGCGCGTGTATTGCGTATCATTTTATTATTGTGTCACAAAAGAACCTGACTCAACTAATCGATATCTAAAACAACATCCAGTCAAATCACTAGTGAATATTGGAAAAGTCAACCTACATTTGAAGCAGAAAAAAGAGAAAAATCAAAGAGAATACTGAATTCATCGGGCGAGAAAATCGAGGTCGCAACAATGACGAAAGAATACAAGTGTTTCGTTGTCGTGCGCAATCGATCGGTGATTACTTCCGGCCCAGAAAAACCTGACAAGTGTTTCGATCATCTATATGCGGCTAGCAAAGGAAAACAAGAAGAAATGTTACGTATACATATAGAAAAACTCTACAGCTTCATGCGCCCACGGCAGGCACTTGAAGATGAAACGCGAACCACATATATAGGTTAGGCATGCGCGTGTTACACGAGCTTTTATTCATCTTTTACGCTCTGGTCGTTTACATGAGCAATAGTCTGTGCTGGAGTTGCTGATCGCTTGCTCCTTTTATCTTTAGTATGCCATAAGGGTCTAAATTGTCGAATGTATGTGTGTGTATCTTATTTCTTTGCTTTCCAACAGAGTAAATCGCACTTGATTACATCCTTTGGGTTTTTATTCGAATGTTCCAGTCATTACGTTATCCTTAAATTCACTCAATGAAATTCTCGTTGTGATTTGGGTTTGACGAGTCGTAAATTGTTATTAATGGACATTTCACTGGAAATCACAGTGAATCGTCTCTTGATCAGATATTTCCATTAATTTTCCGAAATCGTTTGAAAAAATAGGTTTCAATGCATATCTTAATAAGATATAATACTTCCACGCTTATCTGTTACACGTAAACCTGGAGTAAGATTAAACAAAGCGTGCCGTCATTCCGTTGCAAGTACGCAGCCAAAAGCGAATCGTTAAGTCGTATGTGCACAATAGCTCGTACATACACGCACACACATGACTCGCATTTATGACTGAAATAAATTCAGTTCATCGAAAAAGCCCTGAAGGCTGAATACCTATCGCACTTAAGTAAGAGTAGATAAGTTTTCGCGACAGAGATTTGCGTAGTAAGAGTATTAAATGCGGAAGAATATGAAGTGAGTTTAAAAGCCCTTTCGACCTCAATCTTGTGAAAGCTTTACACAACAAGATGCACCCCTGCGACTTGAAGCTTTAAAGCAATCCGCATTGACAACACAGCGACGGCTTTATAAACGCAATCAGTCCATATACAAACGCGAGAAAAAAACAGTTTTTGCATTGTACATATCTTAAAGCCACAGTCTTGTTACTCGTTATTCTAGCGCGACAGTATTGAAAAAAGCCAATGCGCTTGCCTCGACAGTCTTTTGCCAACAATTATGTACACCTTTTGTGACAGATTTTGATCGCGTTTCACTGTAATTTTATTACAGCGAATCCCTATATCTTTCTTCGCTCCCATTTTTATCTCTCTCTCTCTCTCTCTCTCTCTCTTTCTTTTTGTCTTTAGCAGGTGAACTTGTGATTACGCGTGCACTGCGTATAGGAACAAAGCGGGAATTGTCTCTGCTTATTTGCGCCGGTTTTATGACTTCGTTTTATTTCTTTCGCCACCGATGCCATGCTGGTATACATTTGAGGCCAGTGCCTGTGACTATATTGGTATTATGTTGGTTATTATTTAGGAAGCAAACAAAATGTCGAATTTATTTATTTTTTCAAAAAAGTCTTAAAAAAATCCATTGTCTTTACATAATCAATCCTGACAACATTCCCGTCACTCTAGCTCTTGTTTATTGATATTACTCATGACACTTAATTGGTTTTAAATTGTTACATTTCAGAAGGTTGGCTGATTGAAAATTGAACATCCATATTCCTAACATTCTAAATGCGAAAAAATCCAATGTGTCTTGAGATAATCCAAATTTAATATTAGTCTTTTGTGGCATCGGAGGCAAAGGCTTCGGTGAGACAAATAAATGAACTTCTTGTTTTATTATAATAGCGCTACGGAATGCCACATACACATAGTAATGGACTGACGTCCCGTTAGAAAAAAAAGTGCCAGGGGAAGCGAAGGGAACTGTCGCGGACCAGGCCTTAGGGGGCGCTCTTCGCGCACGGTACAGTTGTGCGTCTCTCTCGAACAGTCTTTTGAATATGTCCTACTTTGCTAAAGTTTTAACAGCTTTGAACAAAATGCAATTCAAATGTTTGTGAGCCCTACTATAGTTAAAATTTCACATAAAAATAATTATGGTTTATCCTTTTTTTTCTCATCACCCCAGTAACGTAAAAAAAATTAGTCCCTGCGAAATTGGACTATAAAAGCCATTACCTGCGGCTCGCGATTCGTCGTAAATAACGTAGGTGTAGCCCCGCGGTTGGTTAACGAATTACCATAATACACGCGTAAATTATGAAGGTACGCTTCTCTCTCTCTCTCTCTCTCTCTCTCTCTCTCTCTCTCTCTCTCTCTGGGGTGAGTGTACGCCTATCGTGCAAAAATCGGAGAAAATCCTCTGATGTGTGGATTCTACAATTTGAAATTCAGCGTTATCTGCAGCCCTCTGCTACTTTTTAATTTTTGATCGCTCATACAACCAAATCACAGTAATTTTTTTTTTATGGATATACATCTGATTATTTATTGCTTATAGATTTTACTGTCAAGTACTATTTCTACTTTGCACGGATTACATTATCAACGGTTGCTGCGAGATTTTGTCGGTTTAATAAATTATTTTTTCAACAGAATGTAAGCATGTGAAAAAATGCTTGCTAAAAATTATGAACAATATTATTTCCCGAAATACTTGCCATTGTAAATCAATACATTGTTAAGTCATTTAATTTTTCGTGAATGTACTTTAAAATGCAATCATAAATACTTTCTTACTTTTTGAAAATTTATTTTTATTAAAAACTCAGCTAGCATATTTACACATATATTTCAAAAATAAAAAACGTCTTTTTATGAACAAATGCAGCTTCGCTACAATCAAACCCCTCTCTTCCCCCACAATCATCAATTTCTTTTTATGTAAATTCTCCGCACGTGCACGTGCAATATTTTGCATTTGCACACAACGAATGAAAGAAAAAAAGAAACGACCATCAGCGTACTAACGAAGCACAATTTTTCTCTTCTTTTTTCATGTCATCTGCCGATCAACAAAACAATCTTGAAAACAACGTGCTACGGAAATCATCAACGTTGCTGCACTGACTGGTGATTGGACTCTGGGTATATTATTTATGACTTTTCATTAATATTTTTCAATTCTACAATAATTTCCTTGTTAATTTTAACTCTGTTTCCTCGTGCCTGTTGATATTTTTAATTAATACTTTAACCTCTCTACATTTATTAATCATTTTTATTTTATGCTCGTGACACTTGCAATTTTCAATTTGAATGGCACGTTGAAATAAACCGATGTGATTGACAAACAAACAAAAATTGTTTGCGCGAATGGCTGTGGTGCAAATAGCTCTGTTGTCAGGAACGTTAAAAACATATCAGCGAGCCTTGTGCAACGAGGAATGGATGACTCTCAACTGTCCTCTTGGTACGGCGATTCTCGTCACAGTTGCGAGATATGGTCGTGCTAGTCTAGATTCGGCCGGTAAATGCAGCACCAATGATCATTCCTTCGTCGACAACCAGCTCAACACGACTTGTCATTGGCCTAGTGCTCTGCAGGTAAATATGCTTGTCTCGTTTCATTTTTTTTTAATTTTTTGGTAATCACATAAAGCAAGGTAAACTGGTAGGTGTGTCTGATTAAAATATGACGTGGCTACTTGATTATATGATTAACGGCAGTCACATTTCGGAAATGTGCGATACAAATAAAAATTTGGTAATTATAAAAAGCTTCGATTAAAATAATATTCATTAAACAATATAAAGTATACTTAGATAAAGCTTACCATTTTCATTAATTTTGCGGGAAAAATATTAATTAACCAAATTATCTATTTTTCCATTGTAAATTGGTACACTTATAACATTTGAGTATGGCAAAGGTGATTTGTTCTACTGAGGAAAAACAAAACATTTATTTAGCTTTCCGTTTAGCACGATGAATTGATGAATTGAGTAATCTAAAGTATAAAAAATGCTTAATCTTGAATAAAACATAAATTATCAATCGATGATGAAGCCACCTTATTTATTAGTATAACATCGCATATAAATTGCCGTCAGTGAAAAAAGTTTTCATGTAAAGACGATAAACTTCAACAGTTTAAAAAAATAATCACAATAACGACCTTATAGTACATAGAGACACGTGTTCATTACCAAGAATCGAGGCGCTTAACGAGCTAAGTTAATGACCAGCGAGTAATCCGCAGTAAAAACACACGAAATTAAATGCAAACAAAACAGGAGACTGGTACTCTCAAAGGGCAACAAACTCTAAAATATGCAAGAAAGCAACAGCTGCCGAGAGCGACAAGCGCTTTAAAATCGAAACCTATTGAGATATGCTTAAAACACAAGTTTCCTTTCTTTTTCTTTTACTAAGAAAATCGTCTTTCTAGTCAGTTCATTTCTGAGAAAAGGGTCGTGTCGCGGCAACAGTGAAACAACGTCGGCCAAATGTAGCCTCCGCTGTGTCTCCGTGACAACTTTTTTCTGTCTCCCTTGACACTTCAGTGAAAATGCTTTTATTACGTCACTCTCACATTAGTCAATGTTTGAACTCTTGGCTTTTAAGATTCTCTCGCTCTCCGGAGGGCTCGTATAACTTTGTTAGATGCGCCGCAGAGAGCATGCAGTATCTAACGATCCTTTGCACTTTGAATCTTCGAGCTCGCGATTCGTGTCGCGGCATTACATACGAAAAATAGAAATCCAACTTCTAATTTTATTTGAAATGTCGTTGCAATATTTTTTGTAAGTTTTGTATAATTTGAATTTAAATTTCAGTAATTACTGTTACTTGAAATTCTGTAAAATCCGATGCTTGAACTCTTGTAAACATTATCATGTGCAAAGTCCTTTCTACTTTACATACGAACTGTATCACGTACAAAATATTCTCTCGATACACACCGAATGCGCTCGCACGAACTCATTGACAATCCAATACAATTTGCGATCCTCGATCCGAGTGCATTCAAGAGTACTCGTGAAGTATACATCACGATCGTCGGCAATGAATTTATCTGACTCGTTTACAACGTAGCTACGACGAAACAGGGTCACACAGCGTGTATCAACTTAATTATTCACGAGATGTACACCAAACGTTCGCGCGTGTGTGGAAAAATATATGAGCGAATTACTAATGCCGTGGAATACAGGATAACAGTAACCGTTGCATTGGTCGATATTGATTAAGTATGGTGTGAATGGTTTTACACAGGGTGTTTCGATAATCGCTTGTGAGAATATCTTTTTGATTTCAAAAATTGTTATTACCTTATACGCCAATTTGTTTCTCTTATTTTTTTCTATATTGATTAATTGATAATGAAAGTCAGAGTAGTATAATTATGCAAATAATCAAGAGAATTATTCTTCGCCATTTTCATAATTACTTTTAAAATTATACATTAGGAAATAATTAAAAACTATACATAATTGTAGTTTAAATAATCTTGAGCAAGAGTTGAAATTTGAGAAAATGAGGATCATTTGCAGCCTACACACGTAGTTTGTTAAGAGATTTTCAAAGCTATCTCGCGTCTAAAAAGAAAATCCCTGTCTCGCATATAGCTCATGACACTTAGATCTCGACATCCATCACAGAATAATATTAAAATCGTCCTTCGCACGCTTCACATTTTTCTTTTTCTACTTTTTTCCGTCTCAATTCTCCGAAGAAAGAGCGTTTTTTTCTCGGCATTTGTTTTGAAAGCGCGATAGTCGTAGCATGCGATTCGATCCCTCAGTAAAGACCGGTAGAATGGAGAATAAAAAGCCACGAGCCTCTGACACGAGTTCGCCGATCATCAAACGCTTTTGTGCATCCGTCTCGCACGCTATGCAGCTAAAGCTCTGACGTAGAAACAAGCAAGATTAGTTTTTTCCTTTTTATAGAAACTGCATGCTCTTCTGTTCCTATAGCTTTCTCACAGTGGAGCTTTTAAAAGCTCATTTCTTTTTCAACTACAACAAAAAAATGGAAAATTCTTATGTATTTGACTTCCTAGAGACTTAAAAAAATATGACGTTAGTAAAAACTTGTATTCTCAACAATGAGTAGCGTGGAAGATAAATAAACCGTCACCCAAGAAATTCAGTTGAAAGCCTCGACAAATGGGAATGACGCCTAGGCTAGTTCAATAGTCGATCGTACATGCAAAACCAAGATAGCGGCACAACTGTAAATCAATAGCTCGAATGATTTATGATTTGAGCGCCTTTTGTTAGTTCACTTTTAGTATTGTTACGAATCTTCTCGACGAGATGTATAAATTGAAAAAAAAAATTGAAAAAAAAAGAAACTAAAATACGCAGGGCATACGTCAATATGCCTGAGATTCATTCGAAATTAATCTCAGGCTGTTTTTATATTGTTTACAAGTACCATAGTCGAGTAATGTGACAATATAGCCTACGTGACCTTGGGAAAGCTTGCCGTACGCGTACAAACATTTTCATTTTGCGCTTTCTGTAAGTACTTGCCTGCTGCCTTCCTTCCTCCCGAAACAAAAAATTAATTTCGATATTCTTCCTGTTACTTTTTCGCACTCTCGTTAGTAATCAATCTGTATTACGCCACATTTTCCCTTTCTTCAACATTACTATTGTTCACCTATTATGTCAATGAGTATTGCACAATGAAAATGACTAGTAGAAAGTAATATTTGTTGTTGATAGTCATCTCTACAACCGATAAGATATTGCCATCTAGTGACAACAGAGAATATGGAATTCAGATGTAGAATTATGATTGTACAAAAGTGTAATTTAAAATGTTTTTAGAGTCGCAGTTAAATATTCTGTGTCGAAATAGTCGGTCGAGCAATAACATCAGATCGTCGACATGCACGTTATAACAGACTCGCAACAAAATAATTAATCCGTGGAAGTTCATTCGAAGAGATACAGCAAGTCACGAAGAAGACTTCTTTCCTCTTTTCCCCTTCTACCTGCGCGCGAGGAAATGGTTTCACTTATGGCCGGAAATTCACGACCAGCTAGCCGGATATGACTGCGCGAAAGAGCGTCGCGCGCGCGGATGGCCTGCAATTCCTTGGCGAAGAGCTCACCCATTTATTCTGGGACGCGTTAGCCTTGCGCGCGCTTGCCGCTGGACAAAGAGAAGAAAGACACTCGCAACTGCACTTTTTCGTTCTCCCGCCTCCTACGAATGACATGGACTAAGTGTACCTCGCTCGTATTTTTCATACGCCCTAGTAATAAAGACCGCGGAATCCTTCCAATTTTTACTACGCTTTCATTTTTTTTATTAACTTGAGCAATGTGAGTTCTGGCTTTTTTGTTGAGTAATACTGAACTACACCGACTGCTAGATGAGATTATTGGGTAGAACATCATTATTAACCATTCGATTAGCAGTCATCTTGCTACTGAATGACAAATACTATAAAATGATAATCCCATTGTTCACTATTAGCAAAAGAATAATGAAGAATTTTATTTACATTGCAAATACACAACAGATCGATTAATTGCGTAGTGCGCAATTCTAGTTTTGGAAGACATATAACTTCACTCGACTCGTAATACCAAACTACGCGAACATTCCGCGAATATGTTACATTTCGATCTATGCGAGATAGTTAGAATTTCTGGAATTGTTAGTGCATCAAAGAGATGATTATCGTCTCCTTAATTAGGTCGAGTTGACAACCATGATTTCTGTATACGAGTATGTGATATAAGCTGCTTGTATCACGTATCATGCTTACGCAGTACTAGAAGCTCCTGTGTACTTGCCTCGTAACCGTGAATAATGTATTTTTATATTTGTTAATTAACTTGTCTTTCATGCTCTCTTTGCTCGGATCAAAATTACTCAATTTTCACATGCCAATGATAATTTCAGAGTTTATTGATCTGGAAATGTTATGTACTTTCAATTCTGTATCGGTTAGTCGATTCAATATGGAAATGACAGCTCGAACGAAAAGCAATTATCTTTCAGAGAGCGCAATGACGAACTTGTTAAATAGATTTTTCTTCAAATGTGAAACAAGTAATTGAAAATCCAGTCGACAATTTTCAATCAGTATGCAATACGACGTTAAAGAAGAATTGCAAATAAATCTAGCCGTCCAATTGATAACGTACAATTTCGATCCAACTGCCGTTAGCAACACGATCATTCAAAAATAAGAGCTGAAAGAATAGACGAGAGAAAGACGAAGTCGTCAGCAGTGAATAAGTTGAATTAAGAAACCGAGAGAGAGGAGGAAGGGGGGCCGGAAGGGAGGGAGCAGGACTTGTGTCTCTAAGCTGAGAGTTACATGCGGCGCCTCAGTTCTTTGCTGTAAATTGTCTCGTCTGCATGGGGGAAAGTTCAATTTCACGGAGACATTAATGCCATGCCAATTTTACCTTTGGCTACGTCATATGCTTTATCCACGATTTATCGTTTACTTGATCCTAATACACTTTTCTTAAAAATGAATTAAGCCAAACTAAGAGTAGTGTATTATAAAATATGTAAGTATTTACTTGTATGCGCAGCGAATTATGACGTGCGATTCTTGGCGCAAAATTAAAGCAGAGGTCAAATGAAGTAAACTCATAGTGCGAGACAATGTACGAATAAGGCGGAATATGATGAAGTGAAATGACCATCCATATAGTGCGGATTACAGGCGAAACCACAATCAAGAAGTTCGGTAATAATTCGCGCGACATAAACACTAACCCCTCTGCAAAAATTTCTTTGACAAACGAGCCATAACTTACATTATAAGCGTTTCATCCATTTGAAAATCATCGTAGACGTTGCTGCTGAGCAATTGTGTAACACTTAAAGTCTACCTATAGTAATGGTCGACTTAATTCTTCGCCAACGAGCTCACGTCCGAGACATGGCCGACTTCTAATGGGCTTGTATATTTGCATCTCTGATTCACTGTCTTTTTTCCAAGCCCAAGCGTACAAACGTATTTATGGATTGTTACGTCGCGACAAAAATATTTTATTGCCGTTCTTATCTGAACCGTTAATGTCTATTTGTTTCTATGATCTCTATTGATCTGGCTATGTTCTATTTGAAATATATAATCGAGAAATCCGAGAAAAAAAAGTTATCGGTTAAATTGTTGCTCAATAAAGTTCAGATTTCTCATAACAAAGAAAGGTATATCTTCGAATAATATTGATGTTTTTCGCTGAGCAGTAACGCAACAGCAGTCACCGTAAACACATCATTAAAAGCTTCAAAGCCTTTAAATTCATCACGAAAAGGATATTGCACTGATGCACAGCACTTTATTCATACCGGTACATGCACTCGCACTCGCACGCTGCGTCGCAGTAGCCCACATACGTTTGGTACGTGACCCTTTTACAAGACAGAGAGCGAGAAGGAGAGACAGAGAGAAAAAGAGAGAGAGAGCGAGAGCGAGAGAGAGAGAGAGAGAGAGAGTACCTAGTAGGGTTTACATACTTCGCACCGCGAGAGGCAAATGTACATGCCTTCCTTGAACTTCTTTCTATTTTTTTCCGACCATGTGCGCTCTACTTTCGCTTCACTTGGTTACAATTCTACCACGACGAGTTGAATTGAGAGGATGAATCCTTCAAATCGCTTGATAAATGTGTGAAATTTCTTTACTTTATGGCTTGTGGGCTTTCTATGTTTGAATTTCAATTTCCATTGAAAATGCTTTAAAAGTTTGTAAATATGTATTGTTATAAATTTGTGGATGAATTTAAAATTTTTTGCTTTATATTTCCGTAATTAAGTACGCTTTAAAGTTGGTTGTATGATTTTGTTTCTCTTCGTGAAAGTCAGCAGAATTTTTATGATGTTAATTAGCAGTTTATAAAACAAGGAAAATGTTGTTTTTTATACAGCTACGTCTTTGTTTTAAATTATATTGTAAAAGAAATTTTTGGAAATATTACTCAGTACAATCAAAAGAAAAGGAGAGAACAATTCTAAACGACAAGGCAGATTTTACTCTCAATGTTTTAATTTTTAATACGGGTTGTTCGAACGGCTGTTGTATAAGCCTCTTTTGCATAAACTATAATAATAAATACTGAAATTTTGCAGACTAAAGATCGTACAATTATACAATTATTTTTAGAGAAAAAAAAATGTATTTAGACTAACCGTAACATAAAAACAGGCAGAATAAAGCACAAAGGATATTAAACAAACTGAGAAATCTTTATTAAGCCAACTGACAAAAGTAGCATGTGTTCTGTACAAGAGTAGTGAGAGCCTATGTCGGCACGCACATAGAGTTGTTGGACAGCGTAATTCATTACGCAAGAGAGACGTCCTGCGCGTGGAGACGTTTTCATAACCCCAAGAAAAACATTTATATTTGAGTTCACAGCAAATAATCCCAACCCTGTATCGGAATAATCAAGACTAACTCTTAGAGCTCCAAAAGTGAACCAGTTCAAACTAAGATTGAATTGAAAAAAAAGTGATAGAACTCGAAGAGGATTTTAGTCCGGATTTCGAGTAATTAAAAGTGGTTTCTTATAAGTCGCGAAGCTACTGGAGCCGGTCGAACGTAATTTCCTCGTTGAGCTCAAAAGACCAGAAGACTTGACGCTTGGCTTTTCTTTAGTGACAACTTTGGCGAAAGTTTCCCTTTGGAAATTGAGGAAATTACCCTACACCTTCGCGCTATCTTTTGCCCATTCATTCATGATCTTTTCAGAGACGCTAAATTTAAAGCCTTGTCACGGCGACGCACGATATCGCGTTTTCTTTCCGTAAAGACATCAAAACTTTTTATCGTTCTTTTCGCTTTTTAACTGGTCATTCGTCTATCTTACCGAATCAGAATTAAAATACTGATTTTCACTGTGTTTTTTTTCGAGCACCATATTAATCAGTCGTTTCCTTGGTAGAAGTTGTCATGCAAATGATTTTGAGCTAAAATTAAGCAGTAAAGATCAAAATACAGTCAAACAAGTATAAAAATAAAAAATAATTAACTTTGTTTCAATAAAACTCGATTAATATTTCCTCGAATTTCAGCATTCTACTACATTTTCATTAATTGAAATATTCATGATATAAATCTAATGAATGTTTGCTTAGCATTCACTGTTACAGACGGTAGTCGAAGTTTGTCAGAAGAAACGCCAATGTACATTCAACACGAGCCCGAAAATGGGCGACCCATGTCCAGACAAGCCAAAGTTCATCGAGGTAGTCTACAAATGCCGTCCTTGTGAGTATTATTTTCTATTCAAAGTGTGCTAGACTTTCAGTAGTTTTAGTATCTATGCACAAAATTCGCTCTCTAAAATTCTATCAACAAAGCATCAAATCAGCCTACAAAGGCTCGAAAGTTTTATTTGAAATTCACTCGCCCATCTGAACAAGGAAACCTCAGATACAAGTTGAACGCGATAAAAATAAATCAACAAAAGCGCGAATACAAATCTGTTTCTAGTATACAAAACGGCATTGGTAGGGCATGATGGTCGTCGTTAGGCTTGCGCGTGACTATCGGTCGAATCATCGCACAATTTCCACGAAGTGGCGAGGTGGCGGCAGCATCAAAATGTGAATTCAATTGCGAGTAAAAGGGTCAGCACAGGAGCGCGCGTCATGATTACCCAGGTGTAATAGGGGTGAGAGAGAGACATGATGATTACACACGTGTGCCGCGTGAGCGAGCGAGCGTTGAATCACGAATGCCAAGTGCCACACACATGCAAGCGCCTTCGCCACAAATTCATTTGTCGACAACACGTGTCACTTATTGCGAGGCGTGCGCACAGTAGCGCTCTAGGCTGCCCTAATGCCGCCTATTAATTGTACATGCCGCCGAGTCACGCTGCTACGACAACAGTTCGTTCACTCACAGCCGTACTTCGTTTGACGTCGTCGTGCTGGCGCCTCGTATGTGTGTGTACTTTGGATGCTGTTTACTGAGTTTCGTAGACTTGATTCTTTCGTCGTCATTTATTGTGGTTACTTTATGATAGCAAGCTTGCATCAACAAGCTCGTGCAAAAATCAACTCATATTTTTATCATATTTTCTTTCAATTAAAATGATTGGTTAGTCGAATAGATGACTTGTCACACTTTCCGGATGACGTAATCAAATATAAATTAATGGTTAAACATGAAAATGTTGGTTGACGATAGTCATACCTTTACCGGGAAATACATGCGAATGTGAAGAAAACACAATTTTATCCATAAACTAACCATACGTGAGATTGCCGTATTTTTGATGGAGCCATCATTTGAATCCAATACAAGAATAAACATTAAACTTCGAAAAGTGAATATTTCACCATTCACAAACGGTTAATTGGCTCGATTCATCGTGAAATAAGTTGTTTGTTATATGATGTTACATTTTATTACACGCAAGAGGTTGCGGGGGCACATTGTGAAAGTAGCTAATTAGTTTGAATAGATAGATAAAGAGAGAATAAGTCCAAGCTGTCAATTCTTAATTGACTGTTTTTTTCGTGTTCCCAATCGAGTGGCGAATACAGATTGAGTTCTGACATTTCGATTAATTAAGTCTCTGCGTTTATGAAATGACTCTTTCTCTCTCTCTCTTACTCCACGCCGGATTATGATTGATTTGCATAGAGATGCGAAAAATTTGCGATTTAAATTCAAAGTGGGATAGCTCTGATTTCTCTCAGTTAAGATTTGCATTGGGCTTTGCAATGGATACCCTTGCTTATTCTGGTTTAATGAAAAGTTAATTGAATAACTTTTTAAATTCGTGTCTTCACTTATCATTATTCATCTTTGGCTATTATGCTCGAATATATCAGGTGAATTGTTAAAAGAAAGACAAAAATAAATGAAGCGTAATACGGAAGAAAATCCTTTTAACGTCTGACTAAACGTCTGAACTGATATTCTCTCGTCGTATCGTGCAAGCAATATAAAGTATTCTAATTGAGAACTCTCTTCTTCAGCCGAGATCTATCAAGTATAGGCAGGGCGAGGGGACTGTTTAGTTTTGTCTTGCCGGCACACATCGTCTTCTTCACCGGTAATCCACGTAAACTCGTCAATTTTCAAGTCTGTCTTATTTTTTACATGCATAACATGGCACGTTCGTTACGATTGTCATTCATAATACGAATCGATCGCCGCATAACTTATTTGGCGGAGAAAAGGCAATCTTCTGCTGTTTCAAGTTTGCATTTTTCAATTCGCTCGCACGATATTTATTTTTCTCCCTCCGTCTCCCAACGCGTATTACTGCCTTGGAATTAATAATCGAATCAAAATTTTCTGGAAAATATATATTGTCAGGATTTTTATTTTTCTCTATGATACGCATATTATCTAGAAAGAAAAATTAAAATAATCGTGAGAGGTGATGAAATAAATGGCTGAGTGTAAGTAGTAGAAAATATGTATGGTCAGACGTAATGGAGAATTTCATGTAACTCGGTGATTATGACGTATAATTGATTACCCGGTATCACAAATTGATGTTGAGGAATTTATCAAAAAATATTTTAATAATTGAAAATATGAATCTTATTTGTTTATATCTTGCGCAAAAATGTAAATGAACCTTCGAAAGTTAAAATAGAGAGAACAAATTTATTCACAGCATATCGTGATTTATGCAAGAATATATACAGATAAAAAATCAAATTCTTCAACATAAGAAACAACCCATGCTTATGCAAATAGCAGATGTCGAGACGAAAAAAAAGAAGGAAGAAAAAAGAAAAGGCAAACGCAAGGAAGAGAAGGCGAAAAATTTACATAATGAGCTGTTGGAATAAAATACATCGCTACACTTTCATTGTCTTCATTTGGCGATTTGCTATACAATTATTATTTTAATTAACGTGACGTGTCGAGCGATCGTTCACACGCAATGGTCGTGAAATTATTGAAATTTTGACGAACGTTTGTTTTTAATTAGGTGATATGTCGAGTATAGCAATAACGTAAAACATCTCAATAATTTGTCTAACGATTGAGTGTAACTCGAGTACTCTTTTCTATAAGTTTAAATTGTATTACCTAGAGTATAACATGATAATTGATATAAAAAAATGGTGGTATGATGATGATGAGTAGCCGACGAGTGATGAAGAGAAAAAATTAATTTTCGGCATAATTAGTACTGGAGCAAATTTAAGAAATGTTATAGTCGAGCTTCTTGAGCAAACAACTTTATGGATTTGTGGACCAACCGCGGTAGCTCTATCTAAAACGTAATTTCGTTGTATAGCAAAAGGGGAGAGGCTCACGCGCACTGGTCAATAGCAGGCTGAAGTTGAGTAGCGCAACTTTTGCTGTCTAGTGCTCGGGCTGTAGTAAATCAGCGACTCGATAAAACTCGACAGAACTAACACTTTATCTCTCAGGTACGCCAGCGCGGCAGCGGTAGCAAAGACGCATAACTTTTTCGGGTAGGGAAAAAGTTGTCGTCGAGCATTTCGTAAACATTCGTCGGCTGAATCCATCTACGAGTCTCGAAGAACTGTCAAGAGCGTCTTTCCATTTATTTATTATAGCTTTGTAAATAGCGAATTCATCAAGTATATTTTGCATGTATTCCACGCTCTGCTTCCTAAGGCTTCTTATTTAAACAATTCATAGAAGTATCAAGATAAATAATTGCTTTTGTTCTCTTCTATTGTTTATTAATGTTAATTACTTTTTAAAAAGTCATACTTTCTCGTCACATTAGGGTTTAATTGCAGTTTATTATTCAAGTTAAATTAATTAATCTATTAGTAGTTGAATATATTACCAATGCCCTGAGTACGTGGTTTATTCTCAATAGACCACTATCTAATATCGGTAACCATAATTGCTTTTCAGAATCAATAGCTGCAGACGAACATTTTCTGTACCAAATTACTCTTAGTTCTACTGTACAATGATCAAAGGAATTACTTACTTGGTCACCAGTAAATTCATATCACCCTAATAACTTTCATTCTTTAGGATGATTTTTTGAATAATGCTTTGAAGCGCAGATAACTGCACAAAAAGAAAGTAGAACTCGCGCATATGTGCGTAAGTATGCGCGTGTATTTTTTTACCACGCGTGACTACGTAATAAACGCGATACGCACGCGCGCGGCACACGTAAATTCCTCAGAAGCCACAGGCTCAGCTGATGCCATTATTATTTGCTCGCACGCGCTGCTGCGATATTTTATTAAGGCGCGCGTGCCGGCGAAGTTGCGCGTCATTAATAATCCTGCGAGTCTCTCGCGCCGTAGCAGCTATATATACTGAAAAGCATGCAAGAAGCTGCAAATTCGTAGTGCACAGCGTGTGCATTCGTGAATTATTTTGCCAGGGAATCGTCGCGGGAGCTTTTAGGCGTTGCCACCCTTTTTCCTCTTTCTTATTTTTCCTCTTTTCTACGTCGCTAGCACTCAGATTCACGTAGTGGCTGGATTATAATGCTGCCCTACAATTTTCAACATGTCGATTGTAAGGGTATTAAGTATGAGCGAGTAAACGTTCTATTATTACTCTGTCAAATCGCCAATTTTGTTTACTTGTACATTTAATCAAACAAATTGTTCTTAACAATTCCCCATCGATATGAATTACTCTTTCCACGAATATAAGTTTTTCCTAGAGAATGTCGGGTAATTGATCTCGATTACGATCTCACGATTTACGATCATACATAAAAAAAGAGTATCCACGATGTTTATGATTGATTAAGATACTCAGGAACAAGTACAAATTCTTGAATCCACGACACTAGTTTGCTTCACTTAATGTGCAGGATAAACGATAAACATTAAGTAGAGAGAAAGAGAGAGAGAGAGAGAGAGAGAGAGAGAGAGAGAAGGAGCGCTGTTTCTAAAGTGTACGTTTATCTGTTTACAGATGAATTCAGGAGTAAAGTGGCATGTGAAAATGACGCCATCAATCTCTCGTGCTTTCCGAACTACAGGATCGCCATTTACAGTGCCTCCTTCGGTAGAACCGAATACGAGTCGCTACAGTGTCCGCAACCCAATGGCGTCAAGGACGAAAGTATGTATGAACATTTTTATCGAAAATTAATCTTACTGATTAAAAGCATTCTTTTTCAAAAATAATATGCCTAATATATTGTTATAGTGACCGATGAAAGCTTGCTAATGTTTTTATAATCTTGTATCTCGCATCAATATAAAAATTTATGTAATTTTAGATTTTTTTTTAAATCGGTGAATATCTTGATGGGCTCTTGCACGGGTCTCGTGAACTCCTTTTCACTCACGCGTATTTTGAATACCCTAATGACATTATCCGATTGAGTGACCTCAGATATTTTAGAAGCGTTACGCGGCGCTTGGTATTATGACAAGCACGATATATCCTACTTGTAGCGTGGGGATTGTATCATGTTATTTGCTACGTTGTAAGAGCATTACAAGTACTGACGAAGCTATCTTGAAGCTTCCAAAAATCTTAAACTATATTTTAAACTATTTCAAATGAATTTCGTGGGTTCAAAATTCAGCTTCGTGTTTGCACAAGTTTAGGTATTCTGTCTCTGCCATTAATGTCTTAAGAACTTGTCGAACTGTTCGGTCGAAGCTTGATCGCTAAGCGCATCGCTCAGGGCAACTGAACAATTGCTCCTAAGCTTTCCCTATGTGGGGTGCACCGGAAGGATTAAAATACCAGCAAAAACGATTTGCCAGCGTGAATTTCGGATGTTCTTCGGTATCAATACCCGCAATCACGTCTTTAAACTCCTTGTTGGCTTGTACAAAGTTTATACCATTATCGCTATAAATCTCACGAGGAAAGGTCTTTCTGCTCGTTGAGCGACCAATGAATGATGAATCTCACGCGTCGTCATGTACGTAAAAGGTACGCTTTATCGCTTATTTACGAACATATATAAGAAAAAATCGAAATCGTAACGTGTATACATTTTTAATCATTATCATTCAAATTTAATCCATTTAAAATATATGGTGCTTTGAGATTTATTCATGAAAAATTGTTTTTATACAAAAAAAATCTTTAATTGAGTAGAAGAGTGACATGTCATTCTCGCGAACATGAATGTTATTAGCGAAAGACTTTATGATACAATTATACTAAAGATATTTAACTTCAATTAAGTTTCACGAAAGTTGAGATGCTGGAAATAATTATTTCAACGGAATAATTACTAGATCTTGAGCATTAATCCGATCTAACTAGTACAACCTCTTGGTAGCATCTTAGGCCTTTAAAAGAAGGAAAATACTAATCCCGTAAATTCTAAATCGTCGAGAAAGATAAATTTTTTAATAAAAACGCAGCATATTAATATTCCCCTCTGGCGAATGAATATCATTAATAACTAGCACGACGGAATGGAAGATCATTAGCCAAATGACACTGGCGGTGATGATAGCACCCCGAGCGTCGGAAACTCTCCCTAATATCCCGTGTAACAGATGTTATGCAGATTAAAGGGAATTTTTCATTAAAAAGTTTTCGAGCCCTCCTGCTATGCTGTGACTTACAGCCTTGAGCGATCTCTTTTCTCTCTGTACCGACTTTTACTCTAGAAGCGTTAGCAATTATTTTTTTTCTTCTAGGCCTTTGAGATTATCGACAGTTTTTAATTTCTTTATGTTCCGCTGCATACCGCTTTTTCTGCATGAACTTTCCCAGCTTTCATGTCAGCTTGGACACGCGTCCGAGCTTTCCTGCTGTTACGTACACGTGCCGTTAATTTCAAAAATTGAAATGAGCCATTAATAAAATAGTGAAATACCTTTGTAATTGATTTCTCAAGTTTCTTGTGCTTTTACTTAACATTATTGATAATACACTCTAACTAACAATCACACTTTTTATCGGAGCTTTGATCTTGATTTTTCATATAAATATCGAATAAGAACAGTCGACTTTGATGTGACAGCTGTGTGTATTGAGAATCGCGGAATAAAGTCGTAAAAAACTTGTGGTGGTCGCCTTTCGACAGATTTTCTTACATCTCTTAATCGACAGTGGAAAACTACAGTAGATTTTTCATCTTAGGGAGAATGACTCACGACAGATTTTACTCTTACTTCGAGAACATTTGTAATCGGGTTTGATAGCAGCTTTTCGGCGATTTATTCAATAAGCTCTTTCCATAGCTTTTAAAAGCACAAAAAGTGGCTCAACCGTGAAAATAAAATTGTTTTTTTTTTTCAAGATACTCAACGACGCTACAAACTTTTATTAATATATAGCATTTTTACTAAAGAGTACTAGTTATTTTAGAGTAACTCTAGATTAAAAGTAAAATATGAAAGTCCAATTTGCGGTCAATACGGAATTTCAACAAATTCCAATATATTTTCTCAACTATATTAGTTATAAATTTTATTCATTTCGCTCTATAAAATACCAAGAATCACATTTACGAAATCTGATGGAGATAGCGAAACATTTTACATTTGACGATCGGAGCGGCGAATGACATCCTCATCCCTATTCTCTGCCGACACTCGATAAACTTTTTTATCTTTATCTTACTTAGTTGCCGCGTATAGTCCTTTGACATCGTTAGACATGTAGAGTGTTAGCGTGAATAAACACGTATCTTTGCCTAGTAGGATCTTAGTATTGTCAAAAGAGTTTCGATGTAAATAACATTATTGAATCATTTGGATCCGATGTTTAGTTGAGTTTTTAGTGGTATCGGAAGTTATATGGCGGTTGAGTAAAGCCCAAGTGAAAAATAAATGTCAAATACTAGAAGATTATGAGAGCAAAGCACGCTCAATAGGTCCACTAGTCTGATAATCTAAGAATGAAATATGCTCTTCTTAAAGTCGATATATTGGTCACTTTACAAATTGTTTGATAAGAAAAGAAAAAGCACAACGTGTTTTCGCGCAGAGCAAGAGATAAGTTCTCGAATATTTCTGCAAGATTTAATTCGGCGCGACATAAAGCCGACAGGATAGAGCGAGAGGCCCAGAAAGGAAGGTAGCATGTAATTCCCGATATCTCGTGCTGGCAATTCTGGTATGGCTTATCGGATCGGAGGATACACGCGCGCGCGCAAGCGAACTCGTCGTAAGAGACCGAGAAAAGACAAGAGCATTGCTCCATTTCAATTTTGCTCCATTTCAGTTTATCTCTGTCTTATTTTATATGACGCGAAAATTATGAAACAAACTCGCATCTCTCTTTTCTCCCTAAAACGTTCTATTAAGCTTTGAAGGTTGTTTTGATTTTTCCGTCGTCGTTTGTCTCGAGCAATGGGTTTCAGATCGATAAATTTTCTTTTCTCTTTTACAATATTATACTAATTTAGTTGACTCGCTAAAAGGATATTGTTTTGCAATTGATCGATATTAAGTGACATGAAAAATAATTATGATAATCAATATATTTATAGCGTGTTTAGCAAGCCACGCGACCGAGAGGCTGATCGATCTGTGCCATGGTCGACGGCACTGTTCCATCGCAGCTAATAGTACGACATTCGGTGATCCCTGTCGACCGGAAAGTCGTACTTATCTCAAAGTCGTCTATACCTGTGGTGAGTATTTTTTAAATATATTCTTTACCAGATTTACCAAGTTATTGCATTTGAGAATTAAGCAGTCTCATCGAGAAAAGTTGTACGCAAGTGTCTCTTTTTTTTCTTTCCGAGAAAGAAAAACTAGGTCGTGTTTTATCCTTAATTACCCATTACCCGCATGTTGTCTCCGAGGCAACTAGATAAGAAAACTTCTTTGAAATAATGTTTTAAATGATCGTTGAAGCACTATAATGTAGATAAATAAGGAAGAAAATAAATTTGCCAGAGAATATTTTTTTATGCTTCCATGTGGATTTATGTTATATATACTCAATTTCTTTACTCGAGTTGATTACTAATAGTGGCTGATTACATTTTTTATCACAAATTTATTCACATTATTTGTATGCTAATCAATTCGAAAATTCAGGATCTGAACTCATTAATGAAATTATTGAACAAAAGCAAATTAATCACCTCATACAAAAAAATCCAATGAATGATTGTCAGATTTTTATATCAACAAAGTAAAGTTTTCACGAGATATGCCAGCGTTTAATACTTCTTTTAGCCTCGCGAGCACTTTAAAATCACCAAGAATGCTAATGACCACTTATGCGCGGGGAGATAGCAAATGAATAATTATACTAGAGGGTCCACTCGACTAGGGCGGAGTCGCGTCGCCCGCACGCCCGCCATTGGGTGCTGGTAGGTGCAATTGAAAAGTTCAGTGTTATTCATCTGCGGGAAATGTGCATTGGAAACTATTTTCTCTTGGAAGGTGTGAGCGCAAGAGGAAGAGCGAACATGCCGTCGGAATTTTCAAGCGATTACAATTGTCATCCCTTTTGCGGATGTATCAGTGGTAGTAACATAGATAAATTATTGTATTTGCTTTCGTAACGAGATAACTTGACCGAATTAATTTCTGTATTTAAGGTAATTACGTTTTTCCTCAAAGTTTACATGCGTGGTTGTGAAATGCGATGGGAAAACAATTTAATTCTAAAGAGAAGAATACTCAAAGATCACAAAATAACTATAATAATCAATAATCAGTTACGAGTTGAATGCCAAAGTCAGTGTATGTCTTTTCTCCTCCCCCTCTCCCAATTACATAAAAAGCTCTTCTCTCCTGGAAGTTTGTCTACAGAAACTTTTGAAAGCTTTCAAACTCCATAAAATCATATCTAACATATATAATTCATTTTCATATAATTCTGTAATCCTCAGTGGGTTTAAACTTAACTTTTGTCAAAACAATGTTATTTACCTGCATTTTTCTTCAGTAACAGTTTAATGGATTTTGACACATCACCAGAGCCAATAATTTTTCCCAACCGAATAGTGAATTCCACCAGCTTTTCGAGTGGTTATACAAGCAGTAGCACTTCATAGATAATTAGTTTTATAAAAACTAATAAAGTTTATATTAGATAATTAGTGTACAAGATTGCAGTAAAGACAGTGAATATCATGTGGTCCAACAATAAGATGGATTAGAGGTCATTCGTATTACGTACCACTAATTTTGAGTCCGATTTGACCGAATCGCTCGTTTGAAAATTTTTTTTATGACAATGTCTTATGAAAACATTCTTCTATATTAAGTATCGAGCATGGGGTTGTAAATTATTCTAAATGATCGGTAATTATCTTTCAGTTTATTAATCCACTCAGCTAAGTGAAAATAAACATTCCATTCTTTCTAACAAATTTGTGATCTCATTTTTCTACCTTGTATAAAAACAAATTTTCATATATACGGCATACAAATATATTTGAAAATTGCACATATAACGAAAGTACGAGAAAGTATCGAACTTTGTTTTTCTTCACACTGTATGATATAATTTTACAATTTCGCATGTTGTAAAATGAAGAATTCCCTGCGGAAATATTTAAGTTCGGTCTTATCAAATTTTAAACCAAGCAATAAAATTAACTTGCAATCGACAACACAATGTCGTAAAACATTTTGTTACGTGTCAAGTTGAATAAAATGCAGAATAGGATAAGCTTTTGCATTTTTATCTTTTATTAAATACTCCTAAATTTCAATAATGCCTTGGTTAACCAAACTTGTTTTCCATCACTTTATGTAGTCAGCTCTAATTTTGGAAATTCTTCATGCATAACAGAGTTGCCCAATTGCAGTGAAGAAAAAGCATTTCGCACCGGCCTCCATTCATATTCGAAAATTGCAAGCGACAAGCATTTAAGAGCCACTCAAACTAATCTCGAGGACAAAAAGCTCGTCAAGTCTATAACGATCTCACACTTCCTGTGGCTTTGATGCCAAGTGATCTTCCTTTCTTCGGTTCGCCGAACTGGAATAATCATCGTTGGGAAGCTTGCAGCGGCACAAAGTGTAATTGGATCCCAGAAACTGAGGGCACAGGGGGTAGAGAAAGAGAAGAGAGCCGCAGAGTTGTGAGACTACCAACGAAAGAATTCGGCGACTCGTTTCCTAAACACAAAGCTTTCCGATGAATTCCCCGTGGGTGCAATTATGCCGAGTCGTAGAAAATGTGTGAACGTGTGTGTGTGTGTGTAAGGGAGAAATTCGTGGGGTTGCTCTGCGCAATTGTCGTTTAATTGGGCGAACTGATGGTCTAATTAGTTGTGCACATTCGGCAAGGGGTATTAGAGTGAAAAGCTTGATAAGGCTTCAAGCTATCTATGAGGTGTGTAAATCAGTGTTTGGTGAATCTATAATGCATTTGAGACTTTGATATCCATCATTATTATTAGCTACGATTGTTTTCGTAGATTTTTATATGACAATTAATTTTAAGAACAAACGTGATGTACAATTGAATATCATGCATAGGAAACTTTGAGAAGACAGTTGTTGATTTGATGGGAAAGTAAAAGTAAAAAACTAAGTTTATAATATTATTTACTAAGTTTATAATATTATTAAATAATCTTAAATATTAGATGCCACTCCAATAAATTGAATATCAGATCAAAGTACAAAATCAATGTTTACTTATCCGTAGAATTACTTCTTATGAATAATGTACTCCAAACATCTAGTACATGCTGGATCCGCAGAAGCTTTTGAATAATTTGATAAAAGCTTCTAAAAGGCTGTATTCCGTGGCATCAATAACCATCCTCATGTTTTGTACCAAAAAGGGTAAGCCAATATTTCAGAGTAGAGAATGGCATTATATCGATTATTCGATACATTTTTCTAAAAGCCAGACCAGTCGTGAGAGAATCTTCTCAACATTCAAAGCTCGAATTTCATTTTTGCAGAACGAACTATATAGAGTCCAGTCGAGCATTGACTGCATAATACCCCAACGAAATTGTATTCTAATGGATATAGCGGAGGGAAGGTCGAGCGTGCGTCTGAATCGGAAAAATCAAAATTTTTTACCTTCCTCTCTGCCGAACCTCCCGTTCGGACGTTCCGCTCGCGCAAACACTTCGTCCTCTTTGCGCCACTCGCGTAAAAATTCAATCTCGCATTCGTCAGTATTGAACAGTACTTGGAATTGCATGCCAATCGGTCTCAAGTACATATAACATATTCGTGCATAGGCGTATATAACATATACGTCTCGCAGCAGCGTGGCAAAGCTGAAAATATATTTTCTCTATATTTCAAGCATTTTACTATGTCTTGTTTGTCGATTGTATCCTGGAATTATCTAAAATATGCTTTTGCTGCGAAAGTCTGCTCGAACAACCGTTTAAGTAAAAACCAAATGTTTTTAGTTCAAGTCCTACTTGCGCATTTTTCGCCGAAAATGAAAATTGTACAGGTAAAGGCAAACATAAATATTGAAAAGTACGAATGAAACATTAGGCTTTTAAGTCAGACGGCGGGTATGAAAAAAATTAAACGTAACTAGGCGGTCGCAGCATTAATTAATTTACGCCAGTAATAGTAGCTACGTTTGCGCCTCTAGTACTTGCGGCCAAGCTCATCTTATAACAAGTTCACTCGTTATTTTGTGTAAACGCGTGTTCTCATTTGAGTAATGTAATTAAAACCATTCCACTCCATCACGAAGAATATACATACAATGAGTTATCTGTCGTATGGAAACGTTAAAATTTTCATGTAATTAGCATGTGTAAGCTCGAAACATGCATAGCACACTCATTAGAGCTAACGCGCGTCTGAAATTAACCCGAAAACCGTGCTCAATTGACGAACTTTAAACGCAATGTAACAAAACCACGCTCGTGAAGTTAACCTTTCGTTCTCAATTAAGACGAAGGACCGTCTCGGCTTTTCACTCGAAATCTCGTGAAAAATTGATGAAAAAGGGATCTTTGCTGTTAATCTCGACTTCTCTTCTTTCTTTTATGTCAAAAGGGAGAAAACAGCGCACGATGCGCGCGCGAACTGATTGACCCTAATTAATTTCAAGCCAAGAGTAGAAGAAAAGTCGTGAGCTTACTTTTTTCAATTAACCCAAGTTCAATATTGATACAGAGAGCACCGCCGTTACTCGAATCGAGAAACCGAGTTCGTCGACGAGCGTCTTGGCTGATGAATATTTCCCCCTTCTCGAGCCTCTTGTATGTTTCATTTAGGTCTTTTAATTATTAGAGCATTTTCTTACACTTTGATTTTGAATCCATCAGTGGCCTTGTTTATTTAAAAACAAGATAGCGTATTAACAACAATTTAAGCTCACCATTTTTAATCCGCTATCTGTCGATATTCGCTTTAATCATTCTCCCTAGATCCATTGGTATGTTATCTAATCTTTATTTGCTACATTTTTAATACATCTTCAAATTGATAAAACTTAGAAAGAGGTACGCATAAAGTCTATCGAAACCCTCCTGCTAAAAGCAGTGAAGCTTGACAAAATGAAGATATCGAAGCCGTAATGCTGTCTGATCCATCGCGCATTTTAATTATGACGCAAAATGACGTAATAAAAGCAACTGCAAGAAGAAACGTCTAAGCACGCGCCATTCATTAATCCTCTTCATTTAACGTCGAGCTCACGCCCGAGGAACATAAAGTTTGCGGTGTAGCACGA